AATCAATAAGTTTTTAAAAATGAATAACATTTGAGGAAGAAGCATAAAAATTACGTCATGTTAATTAGTAGAGGTGATAAACATTACCCTTGAAATCAACCCAAATGACTTTATAGGCATACACAGGCTCCAAGGATCCAAGTGCAACCAATTATGCCTAGTAATAATCAGATATATACAGATTAGAGATGCATGTTCCAACATCTCAGTGTTAGTAGGAAAAACAATGAGTCTTTCTGCAAGAAACAATATATTCTAAAATGAAATGGAGATCTTTTTTAAATGTTAAAAACTCATTCAATTTTATGTCTTACAGGATTTATACTGAGTTCAATATTGTAGAACCGTATTAATTCAACAATGAACCTAAGAATCTTATAGCCACTTTTGAAAGAGATGTATCTTTGCTCTGGAAACTGTTATTACATATGTTAAAGCTGTAATGAAATGCTTCTTCTAAAAATATTAAAATATATATATTAAAAAAAAAACAAAGACCCGCATGTTCAGATGTGTCTGTTCATTCCACTATCATATAGAGAGTCTGATGTGTGGTAGACACATAGTGCCACTAAGAAGCCATACCACTAACAAACATTAGATGGTGGAAGTCAGCTACCCCAGGTCTAGATGACCAGGACTATCTTTCCTGAGAATGCATGTTCTTTGAGCTGAGGGCTGAAGCACAGGAAGGAATTAACTAGAGAGAGGAAGGAAAGGAATTAACCTGGGCAATGACCTGATAGAGAGAGGAATCCTAGCAAGTTCAAGGGCCTGAAAGAGGTCAAGTGTGGCTGGTGCAGGGCAGGGCACTCCTGTGGTTACAAAATGAGGCTGAGTGTACATGGTCAAGGTCAGAAGGCACCAGACCTATGGGCCTTATCAGGAAACCTGGATGTTACTCATCTTTATGTCCTTGTTTAATCAAAGTTGAATGAATTGATGTACATTGATCATCATCCTCCAAGATGACAGCAGAATGCTTTTACCATGTATGTGAAAACAAATTAGAAATACGTAGATCCTTTCAGTGATTTGAAAAGTTTCCTGCCCTGGGTCTTGTGTTCCTACTACTGGCCATGCCCCTTCTCAGACCTTCAGTGATGCAAAGATACTTGTGATTGAGATGAAAAAAGTGTCAGTCTTCTCTTGTATATTAGAATACAGCTATATTACATAATACTGTTACATGTTATGTGTAATACTATTAGATTATATGTAATATTATATGCTACATATGTCATATATTAGCATGTTATATATCATATATTGAACAAATTTGATGTCATACATAATATTGTTAAAGAAATTTGTTCACTTCTATTCAATAGTAACTATTCAGATTCATTCAAAGGCTCATTACAAATAAAAACAGTCTGAATGTTAAATATCTATTTTTAAAAATGTCCTGTGGTAAGTGTGCTGGATAGCTTTAGTGTCAACTTGATGCACCTGGTTTGAGGGAGCCTCAATTGGGGAATTTCCTCTATTGGGCTGGTCTGTGGCCATGTCTGAGGGGCATCTTCTTGATGCGTGATGTGGGAGGGCCCAGCCCAATGTGGGTGGTGCCACCCCTGGGAAGGTGGGACTATGTTGCATAAGAAAGCAGGCTGAGGTGCCAGGAGAGCAAGCCAGTAAGCGGCGCTCCTCCATGGCCTGTGTTTCAGCTCCTGCCTCCAGGTTCCTGCCCTGAGTTCCTACCTTGGGCTCCCTGATGAACTGCGACCTGGGAGATGTAAGCTGAATAAACCCTTTCCGACTAGGTCCAGGGGACTATGAGCATCTCTCAACATGTCCTATAATGGTGGTGGGTCACCGGTCCTCTTGATCAAGGGGCCTGTGGAGACCCCACCAGATGGACCTGAACCATTGTCCAGTCTATAAAGAGGAGGGTCAACACAGAGGCATCATTTCCTCCATGCTTCCAAGAGAAGCCAACAATGGTGGAGCAGGACCTTTGATTTATCTTCACATAGATGGAACTGGTAAAAGAAAGGAGCCAGGAGCTCCTCCCAAGCCCATGTGACTCCTGAGGAACAGATCCTCAAATGACCTTAATTGTAAAAATAAATTGATTTATTTGGGACAACTGTATGGCCTTAAACACCCAAAAGGAAACTTTAACCAAAGAGTAAAGTCATCAGTATATTTCTTTAAGAGTTCAGGGGATTACACTTCCCAGACATTAGGCTTAAGTCTATATAAAAAGTTATTTAGGGACTGGAGAGATGGCTCAGCAGTTAAGAACACTGACTGCCCTTGCAGAGGACCCAAGTTCGATTCCCAGCACCCACATGGCAGCTATGAACTGTCCTTAACTCCTGTTGCACTGGAATCCAAAGCCTTCTTCTGACCTCCGAAGCACTGCACAACTCACACACATGCAGGCAATACACTCATACACATAAAATAAATTTTTTTAAAGTTATTTAGACAATTATTTCTCATTGATGATTTTGTTCCTAACCAGAAAGTGCTGCTCAGATGTAAGACTTCAAATCTTGGTTTCTAATACTGTAATGTCCCCCTGTATCTAAGGGAGATAACCAGCTAATGCTCTAAAATGATGGATAAATTTGTTTTCTCCACCTATCTAGAAGCCTTTGAGAGGGAACTGACACTGATTCTAACCACTCCAACAGCTATCAAAATACCTGAAATCAAATCCTGAATCCATCACTCTAGAGTCCAGCCTTAGAAGACAAAAGAAAAATGAGGAGGAACCCAATAGAGGGATGCTTTTGGAAGCCCTTGTCAAGAAATTCCAGTGGACTCTCATATGAACATTTGAAAATTGCCCTGTTCTGACTTTTTTCTAGTTCCCTGTCTAGAACTTGTAATGCTAATTATTCTTGTCTTTACTTCTCCTTCACATCTCCTATTCACCAGTCAGGGACTTTATTTTCCCCCTAGAGATAAGAGTTATGCAATTTGAGAGTCTTTTAGATAGACCCACTGAAGGGGTACTCCAACTGCCCCACCTGTATCTCTGTTCAGCATGGAAGAAGCCAGAACGGTTGGTGTCCTGATTCCCTACTGGTAATTTGGGTAACCTCTTCAGAGGAAGGTATGATAAGAATATGAGGTAGGAATTGGCTAGGCAGTTAAGGTAAAAAGTCCCCAAAGAAACGTAGCCAGTTTCTTGGCTAAAACTCACATTGTCCTTGGGTCTCTTAGCAACATACACCTTTCCAAAGGCCAATAATGTCAAAAATATTTGGGAGCTTTTATCTAATCCTTAAAAGATTTTACGTTTATGTCTTCAGAGGGGGAAATGTTAGAGTAGCCTAAAGCCCCATAAAAAAATAAGTCAAAGAAGAAGAAAGAATACATGAAGTTATCAGAAAAAAGTGATGGGGAGATATGGGAGGAGTTGGAGGGAAGGAAGTGGGCATGGATTTGATCAAAACACCTTATATGCATGTCTGAAATGCTCAATAAATTATTTATTTAAAATAAAATTAAATAAATAAATTGAGGGCTGAATTTGATGACACTTAAAAGGCAAAGATCATAACCTTTTATACCATCAAGATGCTGGTGACAGATGTAATCTAACAAATCATGATTTAACATTTAAACCCTCTCAACAACTGTTATTCATTGTGAAAATTCCTTCATTTGCAAATGAGCTACAGCCCAATGTTTGTTTATAAAGGCTAATATCTCAGATTCTGAAAATATTTTTTTTTCTTTCTACATTTTATTATTTCAAACCATGTGAACAATTCCATAAAACATGTGAAAAAAGCAAGGAAGTGTTCAATGCTGAAGGACCCAGGCCTGGGGCGAGGGCATGAGGGGTCTGGCCCCTCAGCAGGCAGCGGCGGTTCCTAGATTAGCGCTAAGGAGCTACATTTAGGTTAATGGAGCCTGGGCCCAGGGCCTCAAGGCAGGGCCCTCAGTGAAGTTGGCAGTTATCTGGAACAGCCCTTGGAACCCAGTTCCGTGGAGGGCAGGGCAGGGGGCCGCCCAAAGAGGGATGGGTGTAAACACGCAGACACACTCAAGGCACGGAATCACTGGAAAGGGGAATCGGGTGGGTGCTGGTCAGGATCTGACAGTTTTAAATAGGTTTTCTCTAAAAAGTTTTCTAGGTTTGCAGTTTTTTTTTCTTTACTTTCTTCTTCTTCTTCTTCTTCATCATCATCATCATCTTTAAAAAGCAGGTGGACTGTGGTCTTCAGGAATGGTGATGTCTCTCACATTTCTTGTGCTTTTTCCTTTGGGGCCTCCGAGCGGCAAGGGGAAGGGTAGGCAGGAGGCTCCCTGTAAACATTTGGACTTGGGCTGGGTAGTCAGGGCTGGTGTTAGACAAAGCCAGGGGTCCAGGCTGGAGAAATGGGTACCCCTCCAGACACAGGCCTTGGGAGACTCTGCATGTGCCCCCACCCCTAGAACAAGACAACAGTCAGAAAACCAGAACAGATGCCCAGGAAAGGGGGTACCATGGCCACTCCTGGCACCTCAGACAAGGGCAGGCTTCAAACTGAGAGAGGCCTGTGGCAACCCCTCCCCCAAGTCTGGAGCTGAGGGAAGGGGCAGGGGAAGCTGAGAACAGAGAGAGGAAAGAGGGGAGAAGCAGCTGGGGGGACAGGCAGGGAGCGTGGTCTTCTTGCCCCTATCTTCCTCAGGGGTAGTAGGGGGCAGAGTCAGCGGTGGCCCTGGAGGTAGGGGATAGATACATACAGCATTGGTCACATGTGCCTCTTCATTTTGCCTCTCTAGACAATGACCTTTTTTCCCTCTTACTTGTTACCAGGCACACAGCCTTGCCCAGGAGTCAGCTTCTGTTGCTGGGTTACAAGGGTGTGCATATCTGACACTGGTGGTCATTGCACTTATACCAGGGCCAGTGAGGCTGGCCTGGGCCTAGGCCTAGAATCCTCAGGTCTAAGGTACAGATGGCTAAGAACAAGTACAAAGCTGGTAGCTAGGTCTCCTCATACAAGTAGGCTAGGCCAATGACATGGTGGTGAGGAGGCAATTTCCTCTAAGGAATATTGATTGGATAGCCTTCTATTCTGTCCAGGGCAAAGTCAGGTTTTTCTGTCTCCCTCTGTTCTCTGGTCCCTGACTGTCCCACTTTCTTTTCCTCCAGGATGACAACTCCCAGAGGATGAACCCTCAGTTCCCACCCCATGCCTCTCTGAGCTCAAGGCCCTCACTTCGTTTCTCTGCCTTGCCTTCCTTCTGACTCACCATCCTGCCAGGCCCCGCTGCCCCTCAGAAGAGGCCACAGTCCTTCATGTTGTTCTTGATGATGACGTCGGTGACAGCATCAAACACAAACTGCACGTTCTTGGTATCGGTGGCACATGTGAAGTGCGTGTATATCTCCTTGGTGTCTTTGCGTTTATTCAGGTCCTCAAATTTGCTCTGGATGTAGCTGGCTGCCTCGTCATACTTGTTCGCCCCTGAGGGAGACAAATGGCAAAGACTTATGCTATCTGTGAATATCACAAGGAAGTGGGTTCCTTCCTGCATGTACAGCAGGGTTCTGCACATTACAGACAAGTGTTTAACATCTGCACATGTTCAGGGGTAGATGCCTATGTGTCTAGACACAGTATATATGCCCGAGTGAGGTACCAGCCTGGCATGCATCCTGTGGTCTTCCTCTGTCCAGAGGGGGGCACCCACCAGGCCATCAGGTCTCCAATGGTTCCTCTTGGGATGGACACCACCCCTTCCCAGAGTTAGTCTCTGTAGAGCCCCACCTGTGTACTCAGGGAAGCAGATGGTCAGCGGGCTCTGGGTGATTTTCTCCTCAAACAGGTCCTTCTTATTGAGGAAGAGGATGATGGATGTGTCTGTGAACCACTTATTGTTGCAGATGCTGTCAAACAGCTTCATGCTCTCATGCATGCGATTCTAAGGCAAGGACATAAAGTTGGTATTAGCTACCCATCGACCTCTGCCGGCTCTGTCCCCACCACCAACATCCTCTTGGTTTCTTACCATCTCCTCATCCTCAGCCAGCACCAAGTCATAGGCGCTTAAGGCTACACAGAAAATGATAGCTGTGACACCCTCGAAGCAATGGATCCACTTCTTCCGCTCAGACCGCTGACCACCCACATCAAACATCTTGAAATGTAATTCCTTGAAGGTGAAATGTGTTTCCACGATGCCCGTGGTTTTCACACGGGTCCGCAGCACATCCTGCTGCGTGGGGATGTAGTCACTCTGTGCAATGCGCTCCAGGTCATTCAGGTAATAGGCAGCCGAGTCATTGAGCTGGTACTCCCGAGAGCGGCCAAAACAGGCTTGCACACCATGGTCAGCCCAGAGCCTCCGGATGACACCAGACAGGTCTTCGGGGAGCATACCTTGCTCCTCAGCAGCGCAAGACAGTGCAAACAGCTGTCTGGCATCATCCCCACGTTGGGGGTCTGCAAAGTCAATCTGCAGGTTGCCCATGGCCTTGACAATGGCCATGATAGACTGGATGGTGTTGCTATAGACAACTGCTCGATACTGCCGACATTCCTCCTCTGAGTAGCCAGCCTCATGGATGATCTTCATCTGCTTGACGATGGTGCTCTTCCCCGACTCCCCAGCACCTAACAGGAGCAACTTCACCTCGCGCGCCGCCTTCTCGCCGTCCTCCCGCAGGTTCTTGTCGATCATTTTGGAGCGCTCGGCCGCCGCCTTGTCCTCGGCGCTCACGGTGCAGCCCATCCTGCCGTCCGCCGGCCCGGCCTGGCCCTCACATGGCCCACGGCCCGGCTCGGCCCCGCCCGACCCACTCCGCTCCCACCGCCGGTCCTGCGCTGGCAGCTCTTGGATCTGCAGTTCCGTGCGACTGCGGGAGGCGCCTTCCCGGCCGCCGCCTGAAAATATTTTTTAAGATAAAAGCTTAAGATTGGTTCAGTGAGATGGCTCAATGGGCAAAGCACTTGCCCCGAAAGGCTGATGACCTGAGATTCATCCCTGGAACCACAGAAAGGTGGAATAACACACCCATATCACTATAATAATAAGTTAAATAATTTTTTAGTTAATAAAAAAAGAGGAAATCAAAAAAATAAACAAGCTTTCTAATTGAGTCATCAACATGAAATTAGATGGGGAGCATGTTGGGAAGATGAGGAATCCAGCTGGAGTCGGAGGGAGATAAGAGAGGCAACTGGGGTGACGATAATCAAAATACATTATACACATAGATGAAAGTGACAAAGAATAAAAATTTTAAAATAACTGAGCACCATTTAATTCTACACACAGACACTATAGAGATTATAGTTTTATAGAAACTTTCATGAAAAGAAATCTAACAACTGAACGCTAGTGTTTAGCACTAGTGTGCTTTTGGTATGCAGAAATTTAAACTGCAAATAGAAAAGCAGTGTTCCATTGTCGTTTCTTCAACATAACAGGGTTTCAATTAGCAGAGTAAATGATAAGTACATGGATAATTTTGGAATTTGTACCTCATGAGATAAAATTATCAACCTTGCTTCTTATTCTTAGTACAAATTCTGACTCTAAAACAGGGAGATTGACAAAATATAAAACCTTTGTGAGTAAAAATATTTATAACTGTATCCAGTCTCCTCAGACGAAGCTCCAAAATGCAATTTTTGGTTAGGCAAGGTCATTTTAGATTGACACGTTAGACAGTGTTCTACTTAACAATGATTTTTATTTCTCTTCAGGAGATCTTTATTTTTAATTCCTTTTATTTTAAATATATGTGCATTCCTTTTTTTCTAAAAGATTTTCTCTTTTGTTGATTATTTTACTTGATTTTCCTTGTCCCAATAGATGTGATAAAAGTCGTTTGACTTTGCTCACTGATACCTTCAAACAAAAGGATTTTCGTTCATTTCACTCATGTATAACTCTTTCTCAAGTAAAACAACATAAAAGTTTAAAAAAAAAAAAAAGTTCACAAAATTGCTACCTCATTGGAACATGGAATTTGGGGTGACCTAAATCTGTGTTCCCAGGCCATGGTCACTCATCCCATATTTGATTCTAGAATAAACTATGTCTTATACCTTTTGAGGTAAGCGTTTGCTTTTTGTGTCAACAAGGGCCTTGTAGTCTCTAATGACAGATTTCCTCTGCTTCCTCCTAGCCCCCCTCACTGTTGACCTTACCCCAGACTTGTGCTCCCCTCTCCACGGGAAGCAGGAAGAGGCAGGAAGGAACTGGTATTAGAGAGGGACTGGTTGGGGCTTTGCAGGGAGCCCTAGGGGAAAAGGACAACCCAGCTACAGTGCTGGGACAGAAAGCCATTCTTGGGGCTCTGGTCCTGGAATCTATTTGTCATGAGACCTTTGACAGTCTGGGGAGCAGGGGCTGCTCTCAGAATCAGGGGGCACATGGCCCAGAACTGACCCCACGTGAGAATTGCAGGCTTGGAGAGTCTTTCTGCTATAGGTATGGATCTGAGTCCCAGGGCACCTGCTGGAGTTTCCAGGCTCTTGCACCTCAGGACAAATCATTGACCAAGGGAGATATGAGTAGAAATATAAGTACAGAGGGGCTGGAGAGACAGCTCAGTGGTTAAGAGCACTGACTGCTCTTGCAGAGGACCTGAGTTCAATTCCCAACACCCACATAGCATCTAACAGCTGTCTGTAACTCGAGTTCCAGGGATTCTGACACCCTCTTCAGACATCTACGGGCACTGCACAATACAGATGCACTTACATACCTGCAGGCAATACACTCTTTCACATAAAATAAAAATAATACATAGAAAAAATAAAAATAGAGACCCTTTATTATGAAATAAAGCACTCAGGGCTGTAGAGATGGTTAAAAGCACTAGCTGCTCCTGCAGAGGACCCAGGTTCTATTCCCAGCACCCACATGGTGGCTAACAACTGTCTATAACTCCAGTTCCAGGGGAATCCATTGCCCTCTTCTGACTTCCATTGGCATTGCATGACATAGGTGCACCTACATGCATGCAGGCAATACACTCATACATCTAAAAATAAAAAAAATAGGTCCCCTGCCAGCCTTGGACCCAGGTGGGCTCCAATTCCTTCACCTCAGATCCCTGGACTACCTTCCTAACCCAGACTAGCTAAACACTCTACCATAGATCCCTAAGTCCCTCCCCAGGCAGTCCCCCCACCTCCACCTTCTCTGGCTCCAGATCAGGCAGACAGACCTGCTCAGCCAGGACTCTGGTAAGTCAAATCCTGCCCCATTGCATTTCTACTCCATTCCTCTCCCCATGCCTACCCTGTCCCCTGCCAGCATTGGACCCACATGGGCTCCAATTCTTTCACCTCAGATCCCTGGACTAGCTTCCTAACCCAGACTAGCTAAACTCCCTTGCATAGAACTCCATTGGTTCCTGATCTGTCTGGCACAGACCAGCCCTCCTACTAACCTGACCAGCCTACCTACTACCCTGTCCCACCATCCAGCTAGACCAGTCTATTACCCTGCAAAAACTTGAAACACCCACAATTTATTTTCCATACTGGAACAAAAAGTAAAACCAAGCTACATAAATAATAGTAATAGAACCAAAATTAAATTCAACAAAAGCAGAATAGAAGTTCCTGTTGGTCACAAAAACCAAAAAGAACATCCATATGCCCAAACAGTAATGCAGAATGAAATATGAAAAATATGAAAAACCAAGAGACTATGTCCCCAACAAAATCCACGGATCCTACAGATGTGCACTGCAATGAGAACAACCCTGAGGAAACCCAGGATGCAGAATATCAAAAAATAATCATAAACATCAAAGAACTTCAAAGAAAAATACAAATAACTCAAAGAACTTAAAGACAAAAGGCATAAACTTATGATGAAAGCCCAAGAATATACAAATATGTGGCTTAATGAAATACCCAAACAATTCATAACTTGAAAAGTGAATTCATGAAAGAAATAGAAATAGTGAAAGAAACCCAAACAGAAATGAACATGGGATTGAAAAACTCAATAAACCAACTAGAAATAACAGGAGATAGTTTCACAAGCAGAATGAATGAAATGGAAAACAGAATATCAAGACTGGATGATAAAGTTGAAGATCTGGACTCCTTAAGCAAAGACTCTGTAAAATTAAAAAAAAAAAAAAACACAGAAATGGAATACTCGGGAAATGCAGGACACCATGAAAAGACCAAATCTACAAATTATTGGCATACAGGAAGGAGAAGACTCTCAGGCCACTGGCATTGAACAGACCTTTAACAGGATTATAGAAGAAAACATCTCTAAATTAAGGAAAGATACACCTATAGATATTCAGGAAGCACACAAAACACCAATTAGACATGACCAGGACAGAAACTTCCCACCACACCTCGTAGTAAAAACATTAAATTTACAGAATAAAGAGAGGGTACTGAAAGCTGCTAGAGAAAAACAAGTTGCATATATGGGAAAACCCATCAGAATTACAACTGACTTTCCTTTTCTTTTTTTTCTGATTTATTTATTTATTTTTTAAGTGTTTTATTATTTTTATTTTATGTGTACCAGTGTATGTGAGTGCACCAGTGTCGTGAAGTGCCGCAGAGGTCAGAAGAAGGCTTCGGATTCCCCTGTAACTGGAGTTAAGGATGGTTCATAGCTGCCATGTGGGTGCTGGGAATCGAACCTGGGTCCTCTGCAAGAGCAGTCAACACTCTTAACCGCTGGGCCATCTCTCCAGTCCCTACAACTGACTTTTCAATGCAAACTATGAAAGCCAGAAGAGCCTGGACCAAAGTATTCCCAATTCAAACAACCATGGATGCCAAGCCCAAATACTCTATCCAGCAAAACCATCTATCAAGGTAAAGGGGAACAGAAAAATTTTTATGATACAAATAAGCTGAAAGAATTCACGTCCATTAAACCAGTCCTACAGAGACTACTGAAAGCAATACAAAGGACTGAAGAAAGGAATGAGTATACCCAAGAGGTTATGGAAAGAAAACAAAGAAAGATACAATAACAGAAACACAAAATAGGGCCACAAACACAAAGAAATTAAAACGACAGCTTCCAATATACACATTTCAATAATAACACTAAATATCAGTGGCCTCAACTTCTCTGCCAAAAGACACAGGCTAGTGCAATGGATCAAGAAAGAAAACCCATCTTTTTGTTGTCTTCAAGAAACTCATCTCACTTTCAAGGATAGACACTATCTTAGGGTTAAAAGATGGAAAAATATTCCAAGCAAGCTGGGCATGGTGGCACACATCTTTAAACCTAGCACTTAGGAGGCAGAGGCAGGTGGATCTCCGTGAGTTCAAGGCCAGCCTGGTCTACATAGTGAGTTCTAGGACAGCTGGGGCTACAGGGAGACCCTGTCTCAAAAAAAAAAAAAAAAAAAAAAGAAAAAATCCAAGCAAATGGCCCTAAGAAACAAACAGGTGTCTCAATTCTAATATCTGATAAAATAAACTTCAAAATTAAAACTAATCAGAAGAGATAAAGAGGGTTACTTCATTCTAATCAAAGGAATAATTGACCAAGAATATATTAGAGTCGTGAACATATATATATCAAACTCTAGAGCACCTAATTTCATAAAATCAGTACTACAGGACTATAAAACAGAGATTAACCCCAACTCATTAAGAGTAGGTGACTTTAATACCTCACTATCCTCAATAGACAGGTCAACTGGACAAAGAATAAAGACATCTGAACTAAACGACATCTTACATGAAATGGACCTAACAGATATATATAGAATGTTCCACCCAAGCACCAAAGAATATACTTTCTACTCAGCAGCCCATGCA